GGAGGCCCTGGAGAGGGGCTGGCTCGTGTAGAAAGGAAAGCCGTGAGCAGGGACAGCGGAGCTGCAGTGAGGGCTGCAGCAGATGGGAGCCGGGAGACACGGGGCTGGGAAACTGCTCTGTGGGGATCAGACTTTAGCCCACGGCCAGGAGGGACCTAGAAGAGACCCAGGAGGAAGAGGCGTGTTCAGATTTTCATTTTATAAAGACTATGGACGTGCTCCTTTAGAATACTTTGACTTTGCAGGGGTCCAAAAACAATTGTATTCAGTGGAAAGCCCGCTTGCAATTTTGTGTTTGGATCTTTCCCTGGGCTTGAGACAAAGTACATCTTGAGCCTCCTCCCTGGGCACTGAGTTGATTCTCTCCATATACTGTGTGTTAAACCCTGACACTCTGTAGCTTGAGTGTATTAAATACTGGTGGTTCTGCCACCTGCCTTGCAAATGCAAGGTCCTGAGTTCGATCCCCAATACCAGGGAAAAATAAAATACTGGGGGTGGAGCTCGGGCCTCTCAAGCACTAGGCAAGCACTCTACCACTGAGTTACACCCTCACCCTTTTAAATTTTTATTTTAAAACAGGTTCTCTCTAAATTGCCCAAGGCTGGCCTAGAACTTCCGGTATTGCCTCTACCTCCCAAGTAGCTGGAATTATAGATGTGTGGGATTAGAGGAGGCACACGCCTGGTGTTGGAGGCTTGAGATTATTTAGGCAGTGATGATGAGGGCAGAGCCATGCAAGGTCGCAGGGAGATGGGGAAGCAAAGTTCATCCTTACATGCTTACTTATTCCTTTTTTTTCTTCCGATGTTTAATGTGCCAGGCACTGTCCTGACTGCCTGTGGCCTTGCAGGCAGCCTCAGTTACTAACAGATCTGAGCTAGAGCTGCACTCCCTGCTGTGAGGGGACAAAGGGCTGCAGAGGCACGAGGGAAGGGAGACTTCCTTGACAAAGTCACGTTTGAGCTGAGACTCAAAGTACACACAGCTGAGCTCAGAGAAAGTGGGAAAGGCCCAGGGACCGAGAGAGGTGCTGGAGGAAGGCCAAGATGGTGGCATATGGGACGGAGTGGGAGAACAGGGTGGAAATGTAGTCAGACTCCAGTCAGCTCGTAAAGCAACGGAGGGTTCCTGTGGGAGAGCTCAGGAGCCCCTCCACCCACCCAGGGCTGCAGAGTGACGCCTCAGGAGCTAGCTCTTCACTCCAGCCAATTTTCGGACTGCAGACCCTGTTCTCCACCCGGCCTGCATGCAGCTGGGGGCCCCGACTCTGCGTGCGGCTGAGGCTGTGGGTGTGGGCAGCCGGGGGCAGGCCGGGACTCGCTGTGCCACCAGTATGGCAGCTGGGATCTGAAGAGCAGCACAGCGCCCCTGGCCTGCCACCCCCCACCCCTCCCAGCTCTGGGAGTGCCCTGGACACGAAATGCTCATCTCTGCGAATCCGTGAAGGGAGGAAAGTGCCCCTCCCAGGCCCCCCCCCACACTCATGTGCTGCCTGGGCTCGGGCCCTGAGGCACACAGCGCAGTTTAGGTCATGAGCTCAGCAGCCCCCCAGGCCCCCAGTTCTGCACTGGGGCTCCGTGCTGACTCACAGCCATAGGTGCCAGACAGGAGGCAGCCCCGGGCTCCAGGGTATCGGCTGCAGGCCGCTGCTGAGAGGCACGGCCTAGGAGACTCATCCTTCCTGGGGAGCAGCGCCCCACCTCATAAGGCCCCAGGGGCTGCGCTGGGCAGGGCCCCACCCGGCTCCCCCTCCGCGGATCCTGTTCCACGACCTGCATGCGCCTCTGAGTCCTGACTAATTTCCCAGGGGTGCTCGCCAAGGCCCCCACGTGACCGTATGAGGCTGGCGCTCGCTCTTTGAGCTACATGATGTGGTCTCACTAGGAAAAACGCGCTTGCAGGGAGGATTCTGGGGATGCGGGAAGCAAAGCAGTGGGGAGACCGGCACGTGGAAGGAACGGGAGCCTCGTGAGACGGGGCGCTGTGGTCTGGCGACAGAGTCTGACGCTCCGCATCCAGCCTGGGTCCTTGCCAGGTGCTGCCCGGTTTAGCCAGGAGAGGGGCCTAGGCCTGCAAAGGCAGGGACCAGGGACGCCAGGGGCAATGAGCAGTTCCTCTCCCGGCCGGAACTAGGGCCTTTGCTGCAGGGGCACGGAGTGAAGAGTGGACTGGGGCAAAGCATATCCCGCTTTCCTCCTCTCAACACTTTCTTTTTTCTCTCAGTACTGGGGATTTGAAACCAGGGCCTTCTCGCTGAGCTGCATCCCCAGCCGTCTTGTTATTACTTATTTTGAGACAGGGTCCGCTAAGTCGCTGAGTTGCCTGGGCGGGGCTGGAATCCGTGGTCCTTCCCACCTCAGCCTCCCAGAGTGCGGGCACCAGCACACCCAGATCAATGTTTGTTTTTTGTTTTTTTTAATTGAGCAGTGAATCCATGCCAATGGTGGGCTGGATTCAGGGGAGAAGGGAGTAGACGTTCCTGACCCGCAGAGCTGGGGACACAGCCCACATAAACAGGGTGACAGACTGGGGAGCCGCCGAGCTCAGGGCCGGAGCACAGGGGGAGGGGGCCAGTGGGCAGCGGGGATCCCACCGGGCTGAGTCTGGAGAGCTGCCGAGGAGAGGACACTCCTGAGGGGCCTGCGGGGGGTGGGAAAAGGCCGTCGGTGGGATGTGGAGGGGAACTGGCAGGGGAGGGGCACTCCTCACCCCCTCTTTCTTTCCCCAGGACTCCGCTCTGCCCCCTGCCCCTGCTGGCTCGGGCCATGCTGCCATCTCGGGGGCCTCCGAGGCGAGCTGCCCGGCTTTGCGTCCTGGGCTCCAGCCCTCCCGACCCTGCCCTCCCCCTGGGCCCACATCTCGGGGTCCTTCCTGCCTCTTCTCCCTGTACAGCAGCAGCTGCCGAGCACCTTCAAGCCCGACACGCTCCCGGGGCCAGGGTGCTCGCCGGGGCCCCAGCAGGCTACAGAGCTCCCTCTGCCGGCCAGTCTGGGACAAGGCGTGGGGGAGAGGCTTCCGGTGCAGTCGCTCAGGCCTGGGGGGCTGGAGGTAAAGCCTGACCCCGTGGTGGGAGATAAGGGGTGTCTGAACCCCAGGGAGGGCTTCTCCCAAGAGCCCCACAAACCGGAGCTCGGGGAAGACAGCCCTGCACCCCCCATTGTGGAGCCCCTCAAAGCCGCGCGGCCCTCGGATCCTCCTTAATTGTCCCAGAATGTGGAGGGGTCCCCAAACTCCATTCCCCCTTGCCCACCTCTTGTCTGATTTTGCACCTCTTTGTGGCTGGGTTCAAGCTGAGGCTTGCAGGATTTGAAGAGGTGACTTGGACCTCTACAGAAAGGCACAGATGTGGGGGTGGGGGAAACTGAGGCTGGGCCCCTCCTCTCCCACCACACTGCTCAGCAGACTAAGAGGTCTTGGTCTCCATATTCTCGGAGAGGGAGAATTAATAAGGCTTTTGTCACTGGAACCATCTCTCCCATATCTACCCATGTGAGGGAGGAATCAAGGTCTTGCTGGGGCCGGGCCCGCGGATGCCTTTCTCCTCCTAGCCCATCTCCTCCTCTAGGCCAAGGTCTCCCTCCCTCCGCCACCCTCCAGGCCTTTTCTTCCTTCCCTCGGAGACTCCAGTCCCCTTCAGGAGCTTCCTTCTACCTCCTTTGCCCCAGGGAGGTGGGAAGGAGGGGCTGCTCCCTGCCTCTGTAATCCTGTCTGCTGGCCAGGAATAAAACACCCTCAATACAGCCCAGCAGTGCCTCCCCTCCTCTCTCCAGTGGGTCCCAACTGCCCACCGACTGCCCAGAGCTCCTGCCTCTGATCCCAGGCAGAAGTGAACTCCACACCATGAGTCCTGGGAAGGGGCTGGGGGCTCCAGGGAGGGCCTGGGCCACAGGAGTTTAGAGACTGGCAAGGAGCCCCACCCCTGGTTTCTGAGCTAAACTGAGGCCAGTGGAAAGGATCTAGAGAACACTTCATCTCGGCCTCCCTTCCTTGGCCCACATGCCAGAAGGACACCCCAGACTTTCCTGGTAGCTCCAATAGGTCCCTAGAGCCACACGCCCACCTCCCACCCCACGGGAAGGACCAGCCTCAGGGGCTCCCCTGTCACCCTGCGCACGGGTCAGACAAGGAGCCAGCACTGTGGCCTGCAGTGGAAGTGCTGCTGACCTGGGGCTTGGGTCCTGCTTAGTAGGGCCAGCACCAGGGGCAGGGTCTTCTCCATAATGGGGACCCTCGCGCCCTGGGCCCTGACCCCATGTCCTCTTCAGTGGTGTGTGGTGGCATTTTAGGCAATGAAAATGCTTTGAGATCACCATACTAAGATTTCCCTTCAGGGCAGGTGCACCTAGGCCATGAAAAATTCAGCCCAAAGGACTTACTTCCAAGTGACGTCTCTCTTTTAGGTGACAGATCCCAGTACAGCATTTTCCCCAACATTCTCAGAAGCTAATTCCTTACTGCCCCATGCTTTCCTGGATCTCAGAAGCATTGGGGCCTCTCCCCAAGCTATCAGAACCCAAAACGTTTCTGGACACTGTCAGACGCCTCCTGGGGAAGCCGGAATCACCCCTCCGCCCAGAACCCTTTCAATAGAGGTGGCTTGGGCAAACCCAGACGCTCGGAGAGAGGTCTGGCGTCCATGTCGCTACAGTGCCCTCTGGTGGCCGGAGTCAGTCCCAGCGCTCAAATCGGGAACCGGCCGGGGTGGGGGTGGGGGCACCGCGTGGGGTGGAGGCGAAGGGAGCCTAGAAGGGGAAGGGAGCTGCCATGCGCAGTTCACCAAAGGACCGACTGGCCCGGCGTGACCATAGGCTGGGGCTCCGGTGCGGTCCAGCACCGATGGCCACCCTCTGGCCTGTGGCCATCGGCCTTACCTGGGGACAGCACACCAGGGGCAGGAACCCGGCTCTGCCCAGTCAGCGCCCACCGAGCGGTCGCGCCAGACGTGCAGACCCGGCCGCCACTTCCGGGCTTCAGGGTCCCAGGCAAGCAGACCTCTGGGCTGCACGAATCTGACACTGTTAGGAGCAGAGCAAGCGAGGCCAAGTTCAAAACCTCTAATTTTACAGGCCCGGAGAGAAGGGACTTACTCTAAATCATACACATAGGAGAGCCAAATTTAGAATATAAATTAGCTAATTATCAGTTAATGTTCTTTCCATCTCCCCATAATCACTCAGCTAGAGAATTTAAGAGGTATTTAAAATTCCTTAGAAATAAGAGTATATTATATGTAGGCAGGGAAATTTAAAAAGTTTTTTCCCCCTCCGGTACTGGGGATTGAACCCAGGGTCTTCACACTGAGCTACAGCTACAGCCCCCCCCTTTTTTGTTTATTTTGAGACAGGATCTCTAAGTTCCCAGGTGATCCTTCTGCCTCAGCCTCCTGAGAAAGTGAGATTAGAGGTATCCACCACAATGCCCACCTTCTGTGTGACTTGAGTGACCACAGCGGGAACTATTTTCCCTTTTGTGTACATTTGGGGCCTGATTCCGTGTCTGGTGCTGGCCCCTAAATGTGTCGTGGGCATCATGTGCTCACACAGCTGGTATTCTCTTGAGAAAGGGAGGGGTTTGGTCTCTAGAATACTTAGTTAGCAAGTGCAGGAGGCTCGGAGATCCAAACACTAAAGCGAAATGTCTGGGATTGCTGGCAGCGAGGAAAATCCAGCTCTCCGTTCCCAAGTGAGAACCTGACCATCCAGGAGGGAAACCCAAGCACTGGGGGTCACGTGTGCACAGGCACAGGCGTGCACTGCTCCAGCACTGTACAGCCTGGTGCAACAGGCCAGACCCCGACACGTGAGCACACGCATCGCCCCGCTGCCCGCTTTCTTTCGTAAACAGGCGAATCCACTGACTGAATGACCGAGAGTCTCATGTGATAGTATGCGAGCCAGGGACACATGCATTTGTCATCTCGGTTCTGCCTAAGGTGCACATAAGTCTGTGCTGTGCTGTAGTTTTATACGACTGGAAGGGCATAGGTCCCTGTACACCAGCGTCCCCACAGACACGTGAGCAACTCCTGGCACCACATGTTACAGCATCGCCAGCAGGCGAGAGAACATTTCCAGCTCCTTTATAATTTTACGAGACCACCCCCGCCCATGGGCCCACTGTCTTAACCCTAGTATGTGTATATATGTATACACACATCTAAAAACATACGCATACTCCAACAGACATTCATTAGATGCCTACTCTGCTTACATGGGAACCATGCTGCCGGGTGCCGAAGGGCAGAGTGAAACGACTGGGTAGACACGATATTTTAGCCAGGTGTGATGGTACACACCTACAATCCCAGCTGTTCAGAGGCGGAGACAGGAAGATGGCGAGGTTGGGGCCAGCCTGGGCAACTCAGTAAGACCCTGTCTCAAAATAAAACCAAATAAAATTTAAAAATTTTAGGGAACTAGCTCAGTGATAGAGTAAAATACTGTCTTTTATTGGTGTGTTCTGAAATAGATGGTGAGAGAAACAAAACATTTTTGCATCAGTTTGCTATTTATTATAATTTGGATTTCATGTTTTATTTATTTTGTTTGGTTTTGTTTTTTGTTGTTTTTTTTGTTTTTTGTTTTTTGTTTTTTTGGTTTGTTTGGTTGGTTGGTTTTTGGGTTTTTTTTTTTTTTTTTTTTTTTGGTACCAGGGATCGGACTTGGGACCTTGGGCTTGTGAGGCAGGCGGTAGAACCACTGAGCTAAATCCCCGGCCTGGACTCTCCTGTTTTAAAACTAGGAACAATGGTGTCTCGTGCATGCCATACTGAGACGCTGTTTTAAACTAATGGCCAGGTACAGACGGAAGAAGGAAACAGGGAAGTGGGCTCTTTAGGTTTGAAGACAGCATTCCAGGCACCAGGCTGAACATCCCTCACACCATTTCATGTTAAAAATTAAGTGATAAACCAGGCATGGTGGTGCACACCTGTAATCCCAGCACTCGGGAGGCTGAGGCAGGAGGATCACTGTGAGTTCCAGAACAGCCTGGGCTACATAGTGAGTTCTAGGTCAGCCTCAACTACATAGTGAGACCCTATTTCAAAAAACCAAAAAAAAGAAAGAAAAAGAAAAGTGATGTTTTCAGGGTGCCCCTACAGACACTTGGGCCGGAAGCTATAATTTCATTTAAAAATCAGTACCACAGTCAAAGTCACTGTGATAACTCTTTCATTGTTTTGTCCTAAATGTTTCATAGGCTTATCCAGGATAGGGCACCCGCCAGAGGGAAACTGAGCGACAGCTAACGTTTAGGGCATTCAGCCAGCAGGCAAACAGTCCCATGGGCATCCTAACATGACAAGGCCACAGCAAGAGGCTGTGGGGTCACTGGGAACAGCAAAACCTGTACCCCATGTGTCAACCACACACCTGACTGATGGGGAAGACCCCACAATGCTGGGCTTGCTGCTCCTGAAAAGCAACCCCACCTTTTGCCAGTCTTGGTTCTGCTCCAGCACCTACCTGTTCCACACCACACTCCACTCTCCCATTTCCGGCTCCCTCCTCTGAGGCTCCCTCCCCTGCGCCTGCCCTTTCCCCTGTCCCAGGTCAGGATCGTTCCTTCCAGGAGGATCAGGCCGCCGGCACGGCACTCTCTCGGAAGCAGCTCTGGTAAGCTGGGGCCGCAACTGTGAAGAGCAGGGTGGAGGAGGACTCCAAACTGTCCCGCAGCCTACACAGAAGAGCGGGGCCGTATTTTTCCATGGCTTCCATATTCTCAAGTCTAGTGAGGCACATTTGGGTTCTGGTCTCATTGAGCCCGGCTCTGCGTGTGACACTGTTGACAATCCTTTGTTCCATTAGTCACCAAGCTCCATCCCTTCCCACCTCCGTTCCTAAGGCTGTTCCTTTGCAAACTCATATCGGGCTTCCCTTCTCCCGAACCCTGGCCTGCCTGTGTACAGTGGATCCTAGAGTTACGACCGGCCTGACATACGACCCTAGGTTATGATGGGAATGAGGGCCGCTTGTGCTTCCAGATGCTCTCAGATACAGATTTAACCCTTAAAGATTCTGGGAGCAACATGACAGCGCCCTTTCCTGTGTGGGCCGGTGTCTCTCTAAGGACCCTGAGACCTGGAACCCTGAGATCTAAGGACCCTGGAAGAAAGGGTGGCCTAAAATTATACAGTACAGAGACTTTGAAGGCAACTGACCAACCTGAGTTCTAACCAGCTCTCTGAGTTCATGAGTCCGCTGAATTCTACACATGCTTTGGCAGCAGGAAGGCAGGCATGGCTAAAACTAGCTGGCGAGGGAGGGGTGACAAAGCCCTGGGCACGTGTGCAGAACCTGTCCCAAAGCCCTGCCCGGGGACCCCCCAGGAGAACTTCAGCAGGTTTCTAACAGGACGGCCTGGACTGGACAACAGCGTGGGGGAAATATGTAAAAGGGCCCCTGGCCACGGAGTGCTCTCTGTCTGACCCTTCATGGAAGCCTGTCCGCGCTGTGGGTGGTGTCTTGCTCTGTTTTGTTTTTCTCCTTTCTCCTACTTTTGCTTGGGCAAAACTTGCTCTGCGGAGCCTGGTCGTTTTTTAATTTTCCACTACCTTTAATAAATGTGAAACGTTGGCACCACCCGTGCTTGTTCTGACGAATTCTTCACTTGGGACAGAGAGAACCTAGAAATTACCTCTAGGGGAAGCTCCAACAC